ACCGCCGGCAACATTCCCATCGCCGAGATCTTCTGGTCCCTGATCGACAAGGCCGACCGCAAGTTCTCCAAAGTCCGCGATCTCCCCAACTACGCCCGTAACCGGTAAAAAAACCCTAACCCTAACCCTAACTCCCTCCAAACCCTAACCCTAACCCTAATTCCCTCCCTCTTTCTCTCAGAAATGACTCCGACTTCCACAAGGCCTTCAAGATCTACACGCAGCTCTGGAAGCTGCAGCAAGAGAACCGCCAGAAGCTAGTAGATGCCGGCCTCAAGCGATGGGAGATCGGCGAGATCGCTTCGAGGATTGCTCAGCTGTACTATGGGCAGTACCAGAGGACGAGCGATTCTGGGTATTTGTCGGAGGCGTTTGTGTTCTACGAGGCTATCTTGAGCAGGGAGTACTTTAGAGGGGAGGGATTAGGGTTAGGGCAAGGGCAGCAGGAATTGGGGCTGATGAACAAGCAGATGAGGTTCTTGGCGAGGTTTCTCACTGTTTGTTTGGTGATTGGGAGGAGGGAGATGGTGAGTCGGCTTGCTGGGCAGCTTAAGGGGTTAGTTGATGAGTGCAAGAAGAATTTTCAGGTAAAAGATTGTCTTTTTTTTTCATTGGTTTTGGTTTGTAGTTTAATTATGTATATTGCAAGTAGAGGTTTTGTTCGTTAATGAGTTGGTGTTCACTTGAAAAAATTGGTGAATTGCAATAGTAGGATGAGTAGAAATTATAATAACCTCCAGTTTGATAGAAAGATTGAAATTTACTGTTAAGCATCTCAGTTATAAGTAAGCAAGCAATGCTAGCTGGATTTGTTATGCTGTGGTTTGTCAAATTTACAAATTCCCAAGGCAGATGATTTTTTCAGTTGGAATTACTCATCACCTAGATGAATTCTAATTACTACCTTCCTTATTTGTTTGTTGAGAAGTGAAGTTGTCACAGTCATCATTGTCGTTCTTTCCTTATAATCGGAATTTTTCTCCAAATTTAGTTCTATGCAATAATCGGAGTCTCAAGCAGTGGCAGATCCAAAATTTCTAAAAAGTGGTGTCACCATATAATTAATAGTACCAATCATCTCATCATTAGTAACACTACCAAATTCAATAAACTACCATGAATCTTCATTTTTTAAACAAAATCCCCTACTTTTTATTTATTCTAAGAAACTAGAGTGAATTTTTATGAAACAATCACTTTTGGTTTATTACAAACATGTAAGTAAACAGTGTTGTAAAAAGCGGCAAATCGCGCCGCTAATCGCGGTCGCGATGCTTCACCACGCCGCTTAGGGGGATCACGAGGTGTTTTGGCGGAGAAAACCGTCATTAGCTCGAAATGCGCGAAAAAAGGGTTTTAGCGCTGAAAAGAGCTTAAAAGCGCTAAAACCCGCTACAATAAGTTCTTAAATCCCTCCCCGAACCAGACCCGAACCCATTAAACAAAAACCCATCTCTCTCTCTCATTCCTGAATCCCTAGCCGCCTGCCAGACCCGAACCCATTAAACAAAAACCCATCTCTCTCTCTCATTCCTGAATCCCTAGCCGCCTGCTCTCCCTCTTGTGCCTCTCTCTTTCACGTCCTCCGGCGACGACTTCCAGCGCCGCCGCCGGCAACATCTCCCCCCGGCGACACCAGAAGGTCCATCTCCCTCCGATCATCCAGGGTTTCGAATGATCGAAAGGTGACGCGAAAATTTTGGGGTTTTGTTGGACTAGGGAAAAAAAACTATGATATGTTTTATTGAAGTTACTAATATTTGATTTATTGACTAATCTGGATTTATGATATTTGAGATGGTGAAAGTGATGGCGGCGGTGAAGATGGAGGAGAGGTGCTGCGTTTGTAGAATTTTTAGATTTATTCTACATAAGTATGCATTTGTAGAATTTTTAAATTTTTATATGATTTTTCTTATTATTTAGAATATTTAAATATATTTTTTATTTGTCCGCTATTTGATAGTGCGCTATTTGCCGTTATTTTGCCGCAATAGCCCCAAATAGCCTTAGTGGTACCTCACTGCGATGCGCCGCTATCCGCTATCAACAACCTTGTAAGTAAATTAGATTGTTGATTACTTGTTTCCCTTGCTCTTCTCTATATTTTCAAGAAGAATACCCTTCGTTCTCAATCAAAGAGTCGTCTTCTTTACTATTAGAACAAAAAGTAGATATCTTGGTAAGATTAGGAATTGTGTTGATGCTTGCAACTTATTGAATGAACCTCTACCAATACCTTGGAGGATGTGGCGTCACGTGACACCACTTCCTATAAGGTAGATCTGCCAATGGTCAAGTGCATCCTACTTCTTCTGGTACTTGATCAAGTTTTTATGTTGGATATGAACCAAATAAATATAAAGCTATATGAAACATTGCGGGTTTCCCCTAGAAACCACCTTTTAAATGGGGCCATTTTATAGAAACCATCTTTGATTTTCAATTTATACACTAACCACTTTCACAGGTTCTTTTATTACAATCAACCACTTGAGCCCACTTTTCAGTTAAGTTTTTTATGGTAATCAGCACGACACCACCTAACCTCAATTAGGGTCAACTCTGTAACCTTGTATTTGACAACTAGTTATTACAGAAAAAACCGAAAAAATTGACTTACATTAGAGTCTAGGTGGTTGAGTGCCAAAAAAAAAAAAAACCATTTAAAAGATGGTTTACATATAAATTGATAATCTAAGACAGTTTCTATTGACCCTATTGTAAAGGTGGTTTCTAGGGATAAACCCAAATGTTACTCATATATGAAGAATGTTAGAAAATTTGAAAATAATCTTAAAAGAAATAATCAGCTTTCAGGAGCTAATTGTGAACCACGGTGCATATTTGGGACAACATGATTGTTCATCTAAAAGTAGGATGCAAGTACACAGTGAGAGGATAACAGATCATTTGTGCACACGAGGACGTTACCTGGATATATATTATAGTCATACTTAGTTTAGTCCACGCGTTATACTATATATGTGTACGTTAGTATATATTACTATTATATATGTATAAGTTATTATTATATATATATATATGAGATTAATGGGTATCATTGTCATAGGAGGGGATTTCCTCATTGACGCCTCAAAATCACATAATTGAGCCGACATTGTTTGAGATCTGCTCCGTTGAACTTGATCTACATATTCCAAAACCCCAACATACCAAGTTGTGGGGTGAATCCGTCGTCGTTTGACCCTCCATCGCAGTCATGTGAAAAGTTCTATTCATTCAAAACCGTTAAAATTGATGATGACGGGGTGGCATGAAGGGTCAAACGACGACGGGCTCACCCCAAACTTGGTGTGTTTGTTGGGTTTAGAATATGTAGATCAAGTTCAACGGGAGCGGATCATCCACAACGTACGTCGCTCAATCATGTGATTTAGAGGGCGTCAAGGAGAAAATCCCCTTCTATGACAAGGATACCCATTAATACTTCTCTCTCTCTAGGTGATATATATATCTATAGAGAAGGAGGGAAGAGAGAGGAGCACGAGAGGGAGACGAGAGAGCATATAGATATAGATAAAGTAGATAGATAAGAGGACGAGAGAGACGGGGGAGGGAGGGAGGGAGGGAGAGGGAGGGAGGAGGGGAGAGGGAGGGGGGGGAGACGGAGGAGGGACCTACGCAATACTACATTTTTAATACTTATCTATAAATCACTCGAATTCATGTCCTTATCGCACTAAGTTCTCCTACTTCTCTAATTTTCACGTGTTATATGTATTCTTTTTGTACATCTAACATTTAAGTGATTTTTTATGCCTTCCGCTGATTATTGGTCTAAAATCATCGTCGGCTTATTTCTTCTTTATGAATTTAATTATAAGAACCATGAGGATTGATTTGAATAGGTAGAGTCCTTGGTACACTTAAGAAGGTATCTATTTTTGAAGGTTGGTAAAGAAACTCGATGCACTCACGTCATAGAAATTACATGATTCATTCTTGAATGGTGATCCAGGAAACAGAATTTAGAGAGTGGAAGCACGTGGTTCAAGAAATAATTCGATTTCTGAAAGCCGATTCATCTTTCATGAATATGAGGCCTTTAAGATACTGTTTTGCCTATGACACTCATCCGGACTCTCTTCTGAGTGCTGTTCCCTTCAATGGTAAGAGGCGCCTAGTTTTGCGTGATGCAATCTTGAGCAGTTATTATCATAATGAGGTTAGCTAGCCTACTTTTCTTCTTGTCACTTCATTTTTTAGTTCTAATTCACTAGAGTTCATTTGTTTAAACTTATATTTTCATCTTGATGTATCCCTGCCTGAGTAGGTCAAATTTACGGAGCTCACTCTCGACACTTTCAGAGTGCTCCAGTGTCTCGAGTGGGAGCCCTCTGGTTTCTTCTCTCTGAAGGGTGGTGCTGACAATAGCCATAACGGAATAGGCCCTAATCGCCTCAGCCCATTGCAAGATATTAGAGATCCTACCCTCCCACCAAATCCACGGAAAGTCATTTTGTATCGTCCATCTGTCACCCATTTGCTTGTGGTAAGTATATGTTTTTGCTACTCTGATTGTATGGGACAGTTTTCTTCTGGCAGCACCACTATACTTACTAGTGACTCAATTAACCTTTTGGCTTTATAATCAAAGAGTTTTCATTTATATCTTTTAATTATCAGATTTCCACTATTTTTTAGGCCAGTCTGTCTTTCAATCTTTAGATTCTTCCCTGCTTAATCATGAACTATTTTTTATTCTTCTCGTATGATTATATATTATATTACAATTATAACTTATGGGGGCATCCAAATAGTTATCTGGGTGTGAATAATCGTTATGCCAAAGTATATCAGGAAGTTTGTTTGAGAACTATTGTGCTGAAGGCATCAAATGTGTAAACATATCTATCAAGGTGAAGAGTCTTATTTATTTGCATGGAATGTGTAGATTATGTAATGTAGTAATCATATGTCACATTTTCAATCTGATGAACTTTTTTCAAAAAGATCCAATCACCTGAATTCTTGACTTGTAATGACTCGTATTTCACTGTTATAGTTTGGTCTTATCAAAGTTTTCTTTACTGAATTTGTTGTAACATTTCTGCTCTCTACCTTCAGAGAAGTGGGTCACATATTAATAATAATAATAATAAACTAGTTTAAAGAATGAAACATCAATGTACATGCTCTTTAATAAACCTATATTTTTTGGTACTGGCTGTTATGATCAGCTTGCTGAAGCCAAGTTAGGTTTAGAGTCATAAAGTCAATATTCTAATATATAAAAGAGAATATATCAAAGTGCAGTGCATCTGCCGGATTTAAATTTAGGATGAAGCTTCACATCATTACGAGTTTTGAAGTGCATTTTGATGTAAATTTTACTAGTATCCTCAATGACTACCTTGTTTGAATTTCAGAACTAAAATCACATGCAGTAGTCAATAAATGCGAAGGATGCTGTACCATGATATCTTAATATAGATCTAGTTGAAAAAGCATAAAGACCAGTAGCCAAAATTTACGAATATACATTTTAGAACTGGTGATATAATTGTTTCAGCACAACTCGTAGAGTTTCCAATTATGATTTCCCTTCTTTAGTGGAAGAATTCTAATGGCATTTATGTTTGAGGATGGTTCTCTAACAGAGCTTGCACATAATGGTTGTCAAAATGATTTATCAATACATCAATTGTTTCACTACTACTTCTCAATTTGCGCGGCAGGTTCTTTCCACTATATGTGAAGAGCTTCCTTCTGATGGAATCTTGTTAATATACCTCTCAGCAGCAGGTCAACAATTACCTCTGTTTCATCTTCTATGTCATTAAATCGAAGTTTCCTATATCTGGTTATGGAAATTTGCAGGAGATTGTGGAGTTAATTATCCTACAAAGCTGAGTTCTGGAATTTCTCAAAATGCTGCTGAGAAAATTGTACAGGGCTCTGATCTGGATGCAGTCTCTCCTTCGAGCTCTCCAGTAAATAGTCCCCCAGTGATTTCTTCACATAAGGATGATGATAAAGGCAGTAATGAAGGTTACTTGTGGTTGGGTTCTCGTGGATCCAAAGGTGTTTATTATCAGGGTACATATTAAAATGTTTTCTTAAGTACTCTTTTTTCTTATTGATACCTCTAAAGAATGCCCAATAACTTATGAAATTATGCATATCTTTTTTATTAATCTGGGTTTTCACTATAGGTGCATTTTATGTTTCTTGCACATATGTTTGATGAATGAAATTATTGTAAGCTCCCCATTGTAATTTTGTTCTGGTCTTGTTACCTGTCGTATTATCTGAATCTGGTGTGTATTATATTTGTTTGTGCAGGCTCAAACTATTTCTATCCATGTGATTTGATCCCATTTACTAGAAAGCCCCTTTTCCTGGTTGTTGACAGTAACAATAGTTGTGGATTCAAGGCAGGTTTGTCTACTCTAATTTCCTCCTCTTGAACCTTTTGGATTGCAAAAAAGTTCTTTTATTTTGAGATAATGAACCATTATCTAAAGTTACATCATGAAATGTATCTCTACTTCAACATCCTGCAATGTAGGAACCCAATGATATATACGAACTTGTCGTCAGGGCTGGGATAGTCCACCCTGTTTGAAAATCGCCAACTGAACCCATCCTCTTTGTCAGCGATCTGGATTCAGCCCCATCCACGATGCAGCCCAATTCATAGTAAACCTTAGACCAGTGCATTATGATTTGTCATGATCTTACAATATGACAAGCTGAAGTAATATCTGTATTCTGCCCTATCCGACATGTTATGCCCTATGCCTTTTTGTGGTGATGTGCAATGTTTAAGTAATCCATTTCATATTCAAATTGTGCAGGCTATACATGGGGAAGAGAAAGGAGAGACAGCAATCATGCTCCTTTCTCCAATCTCTCGAGCTCCATCAATGGTTGCTTCCACTGATTCCACACGCTATCAGCATGGAAGCCAGTTTACTATGTTCCTAACAGCTCCGGTTCAGGCTTTTTGTCTTTTAGTTGGTATGTCTGGCATGGACATTGACAAGGTATGCCCTGATAGCTCCTGTAGAGGCTTGTTTGCTTTCAACAAATATCGTCCATTGTATGATCTGAGTTTATGCTTCATATTTCAGGATACATATGATAAGGCTGAGAAGCTATTTTCATTGTCATTGAGTGAGTGGGAAAAAGCTTTGGTGTCATCTGATTCTCTCCATCCTGTTTGGGATGAAGTCTTGGCTGATCCTTTCTTGAGGCGACTTGTTCTTAGGTTATCTATTAATATGTTTACATGTTTTACACTTTCACATACGCAAGCGATTTTCTCCCTACAATTTTTAAAGCCTGTCAAATTCCTCCTTTACTACTAGAATTTTTATCTTATGAGCCTCAATCCCTCAAATTCCTCTTATCTTATAGATAATTTGGAAAGGGTACTTGTGGATAGACCCCATGCGTTATCGCCCTATTGCAAATAAGCACTCTGTAGTTCTCTTGTCACACACAGACCCCCTGAGTGAATTATTTTGAGTCGATTACCCTCAGAGAGAGAATTATTATTATTATTATTTTGACAAATAGACCTGATGGTAACAGAGTAGAAAAAGTTTCACTTAGGGGGTCTATCCTTCATTGGGCGATAGTACAGGGGGTCTATCTGCAAACATCTTTCTAAATATAGTTTTGCCAAGCAATAATTGCCAATACTAAAGTTTCTCTTGAAATGTTGCACAGGTTTATATTTTGTCGAGCAGTTCTTGCACTCTATTCACCGACCTACAACAGAGAAGAATTCCTTCCCTCTTGCTTGCCCCATTTGCCTGCATCTGTTAGCCCAGATGACCCAATCTCTCAGTCTGCAGTCCTGAGACTCGCTGGCTTCTTTGGTGCTGCCGAACATTTTTCCTTCTCTCAAGGAATTTCTGTAGCCGAGGGCACCAATGTTGAAGTATTATCCGCTGCGACAGTCGGTTCTTCAGATACTCCGGAATCTCACTCATTGGAGGATAAGAATCACTGAGATACAGAAACTTGCTGCTGTGGACGTGGGAAAATTTGGAAATACTTGTTGTTTTCTGTGAAATCCACAGCATGATATATACATGTAAACCTAATGGTAATGCTATTGTACCTTGCTACTCTAGACTTAGGAGATGAAATTTGTGATGTCAATTGAATTCTTACAAGAAAGAAGTTTGCGTGTGTGCGCGCGAATTTTGAAATTGATTTACTGAGCCTCTTAGTATGGTTTAGTTATTCTTTCTCTAAAGTGCATTTAATCGTAGAAATTTCTGTGCATACAAAGGTACCTGTATCTATATTGTCATGTAAATGAAATTAAATAGGTGTTTGTTATTGTTAAGATGGGAGAATTGACTTGGTCCCTTTATGGGTAGTCACCTTTCTTATATAGATAGCTAGATATATAGATAGCTAGATTGTTTAACATTACGAGTATACCTGATGTGGGACTAAAATGCTTAACAAATAAAAGACTCTAATACTCCCTTTCAAGCGGATGCATAGATATCAATCATGCACAGCTTGTTACAAAGCACAACAAACAACAGTCGTGATAAAGCTTTTGTAAATATGTCAGCAATCTGATCAATCAATCGAACGTGTGGAGTAACAAACTTCTTATATAACACCGTATCACGAATAAAATGATAGTATACTTCAATATACATTGTTCGCTCATGAAACACCGGATTGCTTGCAACGTTGATAGTTGCTTGATCGCCATCTCTAGTAGAGTTCTTATATATCTGTACTTTGTCTGCCTTACTAGACCGTGGTATATTAATGCACATCTCATTTAATTTAAAAGAAACTTCTTTTTTTTTTAGAATTCCTCTTTATTTTTATTTTCCTCATAAGTCATGATATACCTTCCTTAAAAGCTTCAAACAATTCTAATAAGCCACTCGTAAAACTAAGAATTTTCTTTCAGGTTAATATTATTTCTTTGTATATTCTTTTCAAGAATTTTTTAGTTCTCATTTTCTTCTGCATTGAAACTTAATTTTGTGCTATAGGCTTTTTTCCGAGGAAGAAGGAGAAGAAGAAGATATGACCTTATTAAGACCAATGGATATTGCTTAATTGTAAGTTTCTCTTCTTTATTCAACATATTTGCATCATAATGTTGTTTGCAGTGACTTTAATTTTTTATTTTATGGGGCATCATTGGAAAATACTGGCAATTAATTCTTGCTACGTCAATGAAGTACTCAATGCCTTGCACCGTCCTGTTAGTTGAGAATCTTTCATCATATGATCACTCATGTTCATGTAAGAAAATTTTCGATTTTCTTTTCTCATTAACATTTTTTTTCAAATTTTCGGCTGAGTTGTTTTTCTTAGAGTTTTGTTATATTTTGCAGGTGATGCTGATGAATTTCGTTGTTTTGCCCATTAAGTCATCGTTTGACAAAGGGTTAAGTGAGGGGTTAAGTAGACTTAACCCCTTCTTAACCCGTCAAACACAAAAAATCTATACAACGATTAAAGTGAGTTAATCCTCCATAATTTGTCAAACATAAAAAATATAGAAGTGTTAAGCTAACCCCTCTAGAGGGAGTGAAATGAGTTAAACCCCTCAAAATGAGTGGTTTAATTACTAATACTCCTATTTAGAAGGATTAAGAATTGACGGTTCTAATTATAAAGAAAATATTCAAATCATTGTTATTCCCAAACACTAAAACTGATTACGAGGGCTAAAATAAAACTTATTTAACGGGTTAATAATTTAGTCCTTTAAGTACCGTTTGGCAAAGGGTTAAGTGAGGGGTTAAGGAGACTTAACCCCTTTTTAACCTGCCAAACACAACAAATCTATATAAGGGTTAAAGTGAGTTAACCCTCCATAATTTGCCAAACATAAAAAATATAGAAGGGTTAAGTTAACCCCTCTAGAGGGGTTAAAATGAGTTAACCCCTAAAAATGAGGGGTTTACTAATACTCCTATTTAGATGGAATAAGAGTTAACCCTTACGCCTCGTTTGGTACGCGGGAATGGACAAACTTGGGAATGGAATGGAAGAAGGAATGGAATGGATTGCATGTGAGAATGAAATGGTCATTCTCATTCTCTTGTTTGGGTGCGTTCGTAGAATGAAGCTAGAATGGAAATCTCATTCCCATTCCAATGTTTGGTATTACTAGTACACAAGTGAGAATGAAATCTCATTTTCTAATAATGCCCTTACAATAACATAGATTTTTAATAAGATAAAAAATAAACATTAATGATAATAACTAAATAATTTTATATACGCATATGTTATATTAATCTAGGTATGTGTTATACTAATGCTCGTGTTATCCATCAGGTGTATGTTTCCTTTATATTTTTTAAACAATACTCGCTATTTCTTAGTCTTAAAAATTAAAGAAAAAAAAAGATTATTGTATCTTTCATAGGTCCAAAAAAAAGAATGATATCTACAATCCACAGTTCTAGATATATAAATTAACTTATTTGATAAAGTATCAAAATCACTCAATTCATAATAGCAAAAATCCATAAAACAATACCAACTAAAATAATAAGTTTCGAAATAGCAAAATGATATACTAGCCTAAATTGTCAATCTAAAATTGCCCACTTGCATAGCGTCTCACCCAAACATTCTTTATTATTAATATGGATATATAAGGTATCGTTTGGCAAAGGGTTAAGTGAGGGGTTAAGGAGACTTAACCCCTTCTTAACCTGCCAAACACAACAAATCTATATAAGGGTTAAAGTGAGTTAACCCTCCATAATTTGCCAAACATAAAAAATATAGAAGGGTTAAGTTAACCCCTCTAGAGGGGTTAAAATGAGTTAACCCCTCAAAATGAGGGGTTTACTAATACTCCTATTTAGATGGAATAAGAGTTAACCCTTCTAATTATAAAGAAAATAGTCAAAATCATTGTTATTCCCAAACACTAAAACTGATCATAAGGGCTAAAATAAAACTTATTTAACGGGTTAATAATTTAGTCCTTCGGATTATCAAATGGGCTAAGTACATTAATCCTTCTCTTTAACCCCTCTTCATTAACCCTTTGCCAAACGGGGCCTATAATTATAAAAAAAATAGTCAAAAATCAAAATCATTGTTATTCCCAAACACTAAAACTGATCATAAGGGCTAAAATAAAACTTATTTAACGGGTTAATAATTTAGTCATTCGGATTATCAAATGAGCTAAGTATATTAATCATTCTCTTTAACCCCTCTTCATTAATCCTTTGCCAAACGGGGTCTTATTGAATAGGCTAAGTACATTAATCCTTCTCTTTAACCCCTCTTCATTAGCCCTTTGCCAAACGGGGCCTAAAGATGCATGTCGATGTTTGCTTACGTGCATCAGGGTCTCTATCACTCCACGACTTATTGTTGACTATTTGAGCAGTATCCTTTAATATTTCAATTAGTTGTCGTATTGTTTAGATAAATATTAATTCCCTTTTTAAGGGAAATTCTCTCATTAATTGATTTGGTTAAATTCCTACAGTATGGCTCCTCTTTCCGCAATGAAAACTTTGAAGGGAAAGTAGGAAAAAAGAGGGAGAAGTATAAATTTTTACTAGCAATTTGTCATGCCTCTTACTAATTTAATTATAATTATGAATTTTGTGTTTTTTTGAAAATCATATACACAAGAATTTCATCTAATTCATCAATTTCACATGGTTTCTTTCTTTATCCTTGAGCAAGAAGTGCCAGCAAAGGAACCTGTAAAGCTTGTGATTTTTGTTATACCAGGTTTTATGCACGTGCAATGCACATGGTCAAATATCATGATTAAGTATATTTGATTTATTTCCTTACTAAAACTTGTTCCTCGGTTCCACTTTGATGGTTTTTGCTTACTTATATCTCTAAACTTTAGCATTGTGATTATTTATTTTCTTTAATATTCGTTTAAATGAACTACACCCAATTTAAATTTTTATATTGATAATTGAATTGATTCGTTTAAATGAACTACACCCAATTTAAATTTTTATATTGATAATTGAATTGACAGGAAATAAATGTAAGCCAAAATCAATTTGAATTATCATGTTATTAAGACCAACATGAAACCAAATTTGACCTAAGAAAATATAGCATTGTAAAAGTGAAAAACACTTTAAAAAATAACATTCTAAAAGGAAAATGAATAATTAAAGCTTATAAGATAAGATGATTGGTTAAAAATGGGCTAAAATGACACAAAAGATAATATGAAGTTTGTTCCTAATCCTTGATAGACTTTAAAAAAATTATAAAATAAAAATTAGTACTAAATCTAGTATACTTTTATATAATGAAAACATCCACATAAACATATAAAAGTACTAAAAAAGTTTATGAAAACCCTTTCAAAAATTTCTAATTTACTCCAAAAAAAACCTATTCTATAAAATATTCAGAAAATAGTATCTTTCATTCATTCTGTTTATTTTTATTGAGACGTTATCAATCCTTCTCCACCTTTATCTTTTTTGATAAAATTAGACTACTTTTAGATGCTAAAAAAGATAGTAAAACCTTAAAATAAAAGTTAAATTTACATATCTTAATGAAAAAATATCAAACAACTACTCTTTTTTTTGTTATGTTTTAAAATTTTAGTATTTTTTCGTGATTTTGAATTTTTAAGGGTGTGTTTTGTAAATTTTAAAACTTTGAGAGTGTTTTTTAAAAATTTAATTTTAAGTTGAGTGCTTGTAATTTTTATGTTTCATGTGTTGGTAGTAAGTTTTTTAATGTTAGAATATTTCTTGTAGCTTTGAATTTTGAGGGTATTTTTTACAATTATTAAAACTTTAGATTGTTTGTTGTAAAATTTAAATTTTTAGCGATCTGCTGTTAATTTTGAGATTTGATATGTATTGGTTATAAGTTATTAAATTTTAGGGTTTTGTGCATTTTTTTAATTTTCAAAGGAGTTTTTCGGAATTTTTATAACTTTGAGGTTATTTTTTATAAATTTTAGTTTTTTAGTGTTTGATAGTAATTCCTTGAATTCGTCTTTGTTGTTTGCAACTTTTGAAATTTTAGAATTTCATAATATTTTTTTACTATTTGAACTTTTGAGAGTGTTTTTATAGTTTTTAAAATATTGAGGGTTTCATGTTTGTTGTTTTAAGTTTTGAAACGTCTGGATGTTTTGTATAATTTTATACTTTTAATGGTGTTTTGTGCAATTTTTGAAACTTTTTAGGGTTTTTTTGTAATCTTCATATATTATAGCTTATTAATTTTTAAATTATTGACCTGTAAGTAGTTCACATAGGATTAGGATTGGATATAATTATGATTATAATAAATTAAATTTAAATAAAATATTCAAATAGTCAAGGGTAATATTGACCATGGAAAGATTTTTCCGAACTCGTATAATTTTGAGATTTGATATGTATTGGTTATAAGTTATTAAATTTTAGGGTTTTCTGTGTTTTTTAATTTTCAAAGGAGTTTTTCGGAATATTTATAACTTTGAGGTTATTTTTTATTTCAGAATTTTATAGTGCTTTGTTATTATTTGAACTTTTGAGGGTGTTTTTATAGTTTTTAAAATATTGAAGGTTTCATGTTTGTTGTTTTAAGTTTTGAAACATCTGGATGTTTTGTATAATTTTATACTTTTAAGGGTGTTTTGTGTAAATTTTGAAACTTTTTAGGGTTTTTTTCAATCTTCATATATTATAGCTTATTAATTTTTAAATTATTGACCTGTAAGTAGTTCCAATAGGATTAGGATAGGATATAATTATGATTATAATAAATTAAAATTTAAATAAAATGTTCAAATAGTCAAGGGTAATATTGATCATAGAAAGATTTTCTCGAACTCGTACTTTTAAAGGGAGTATGATTTAAATTATTGACCTGTAAGTAGTTTACATAGGATTAGGATAAGATATAATTAATAAATTAAATTTTAAATAAAATATTCAAATAGTCAAGCGTAATATTGACCATAGAAAGATTTTTCAGAACTTGTACTTTTAAAGGGAGTATGATATCTATGTTTTCCTCAGAAAAAATTACTTTTGTTTTTGTTAGTTTTAGTATCCAAGAAGTTTTGTTTTTGTTAGTTTTAGTAACAATTGAGCAATGTGAATCTACGAAATTTTTATTATGTTTTAGGGTTTAATCGCGCATATACATACCTTCTGCAGTATGGCTGTTCTGAACTTACTTAATCCCCTAGTTTATTTTTGCAGATAAACCCCCAGACTCAAGAAAATATCATTTTTTTACCCTCAGAGGAAGGGATTTTTTTTGACATATAGACTCCTCGAGGGTTAAAAAAAAACTCACTTGCGGGTCTATCTGCAACAATAAAACTAGAGGGATAGTATGAGTTCAAAACAGAGATACTACAAGGAGTTCTATCGACAATTAACCCTTTTATTATTGAATGTGAGCAAATTCCTTAACAAGTGACTACTAGAGATATCACCAGATTTTTTGCCAGATAAGCAGCAAGATGCACATGAATTCCTATGTTGCTTGTTAGACAAACTGACTCAATCCTTTGATTATGAGAATAGCCCTATCAACCAAATCTTTGGTGGTCGTATTAAGAGCCAGGTCCTTTCCTAATTACTTAAAATTTAATATTTCTAAGAAATACTTTCTTGCTAATTAACTTAACTATTTCTCTAATTTCAGGTTCTCTGTTGCAATTGTGCTCGCGTTACCCATACTTATGAGCCTATAATGAATCTCAGCTTGGAGATTGATCATGAAGAAACTTGCACTCTTGTTGATGCATTAGAATCATTTACCAAAATTGAGAAATTAGACGGTCCAGATAACAAGCCCTCATGTGAAGGATGCAGATATAAAGTATGTGTTGAGGAACAAATCAAATTGTTTGAATCTCCTCAAGTTATTAGTATCAATTTTAAGAGATTTAAGATTCATTCTTCTGGCATTTATAAGACTGATAAATTTGTGGAGTACCAGTTACAATTGGATTTGAGACTTGTTCTAAGCTCCCCAGAGAGCAAAGTAAGCACCAAAATTGTTTGCTTACACTTATTACATTACTGTGGCATATATGTATGTTCTGTGGTTATGTTTTCAGATGCAATACAGTTACGAACTATATGCAGTTATTGTGCATGTCAGATATCATTACTACTCCGTTGTTCGTTCATCAGAGAACATTTGGCAAGTTATCAACGATGAAAAAATGCGTTTTTGCTTATTCAGAAAATTCTCTGATTTATACGTGTCATGAATTGTAAAGTTCATGTAATGATTTTTCAGATATTTAGATGTCCACAAGATATGGTTCTTCACCGACAAGCATGTACCCTCTTTTATGTAAAGCAAGAATCTTCACCATGGTTCATTAGTGTCCAAAAGATAATGTTGCAGGTTCGTTCTCCATTTGAAAGAAGGCCACTTGAAGATATTGATGCGATTACAAAAATATCAGAGAGAGAGATTAACGATGAGAGAACGGAAGGTGGGGCAGCCAGCAATAGAGAAGTTTCAAGTGATGAAAATTTGAGACTGAAAGAAAGTAGTAAAGATGAGGAGAATCCTCACATGAAAACTGAAGAGGGAAATCAAAATGATGAGGGCTCTATCTTATCAAAGAAGGGAGGAAGGGCTCAATACGAGAGTTAATCTACTGATGAAATTACGAAAATATCAGAAAAAGAGATTAATGATCAGACTACTGAAGGTGCGGTAGAACGCAGTAGAGAAGTTTCAAGAGATGAAAATTTGTGATTGAAAGGAGGTAGTAAAGATGAGGAGAATTCTCACAAGGAAACCGAAGAGGAAAATCAAACTGATGAGCCTTCTAATCATATCAATGAAGAGGGGAAGCGTTCAAAATGAGAATGAGACTGTCTTGCATTGAGCTACATGAGTGAGTGTTTTTGTTAAGAGGGAAAAAGGTCTGAGGACTTGATCTCTCAGCCTGCAGTTCTGAGACTCGCCGACTTAAAAACTTTTTTTTTCTTTCCCTGAAGGAATCTCAGTACCTGAGGTATTAATATTGCTGAGGCATTACCTGCAACAATCAGTTCTGCAGATATTGGCGAATCTCACTTGTCGTAGGATAACAGTTAACGAGAGATAGAAACCTGCGGGAAGTTTTTGAAAAATACTTGTTGCTTTCTGTGAAATGCACAACATGATGCGTGTAAATTTAATAGCAATGCTATTGTACCTTGCTACTCTAAACTACTTAAATGAGAGATGAAATTTGTGATGGAATTTGGAATTCTTATGAGAAAAAAAGTTTTTAATTAAGATGTGTATATGTGTTACTGAACGCATGTGTGAATTTTCCAATACCATGGGAATTTTGACACTGGAGACTCTGAATAATGTTTTTGTTATGGGTTTGTTGAACCTGATACCCTGGTTTTGTTATTCTTTCTCCAAAGAGGCCTACTATCATCGCCCAATTGCTGATAGACCCCTTGTAGTTCTATTGCTAAAGATAGACTCTCAGATTGATTTTTTTTTTCATTTTTCTCTATTTTGCCCTCGGGGCGTCTATTTGTCCAAAAAATATTTCTATAACGGTAAAAGAGTCAATAATATTTCACAAAAGGGTTTTATTCGCAACAATAAAACTACAAGGGGTGTATCCACAATTGGGCGATATTACAGCGGGCATATCTGCAATTAACACTTTAAAGAACTATAGAAATCCTGGAAGCGGCATTTGCCAAAAATTTAGGGTGAATATGTAATTGTTTGTTTGTATCTGGTACGTATCAGTCGTTTTTTTTTGAGAGAAAAAATTCCGTGTATGCAAAAGTACTTGAAGTGCCTTATGTTGTTGCTTAAAATAAAATAGAAGTGTTTAAATAGGAAGCTCTACACCAATAAGTTTAAATTTAGATGCTCTAAAAAAAAATCTGATTTGTTTATGATTGTTTACTATTTGTTTTCTTTTGTTTTACTAACACGAATTGATTTGATAATTACAGATACCTTATTAATAACGTGCTAAATTACAAAAAACCCAAGAATTTTTAGCATTTTGCATTAAACCCCTAACAACTTCTAACATTATATTAAACCTTAAATAACTATTGGAATTGCAGCAACACCCCCAACAAAAAAAGAAAAAGAAAAACAATCAGTCTGCATTTTGTTTTAGCAGCACATTTTTATCCTAAATGCGGACTGACATTGTCATGGGGGTTATCTACAAAATGCAAAAACTTATTTGCGGTTTTCTACAATTCTAAAAGTTATCGGGGGTTTAATGTGATTTTAGAAGTTATTGGAGGGTTTACTTCTAAACACTGAAAGTTTTTGGAGGTTTAGTGTAATTTGCCCTAATGAAGTAGAGTCCTTATAGAGATGAAGCCCGATACGTTTGAAACTCTGAAAGAACATCCTAAGCCCTTTATATATACCTTAATCTCATACACTTAAAATCTTTTTAATTAGGGTTCCTTTTTGTTTCTATTTTCCTTATAAATTCCATTGTATTCTTTTTGGGTGATTTTTGTTTTCTTTTCTGAAAATGATGAAAAGACTAGACTTTTATATGACCAAGGGATATCGGTTTATTGTAAGCTTCTCTTCTTTATTCTCTTCCTTTATTCTATATGTATTGCCTCTATAACATTATTCATGGTGCAGTGATTTTTAATTTTATTTAAGCTTTTTGACTTATTAGGGAGCATCACTGAAAAATATGGGCAATTCTTGCTACGTTAACGCAGTGCTACAATGCCTCACTCATACGGTCCCATTAGTAGAGGCTCTTCGGTCCTCTGATCACTCTTCTTTGTGTTCTCGTAATAAATTTCAACTTTTCGATATTTCGACTGTCATGTTTTTTTTTTTTTTTTGCACATTTTTTGGTTAATCTTTATTTGGAATTTTGTTATATTTTGCAGGTGGTGCCGATGAATTCTGTTCTTTTTGCATCTTAAAGAAGCATGTTGACTACTGCTTACGTGCATCAGGATTTTCTATTACTCCAAAACTTTTTGTTAATAATTTGAGCAGTATCCTTCAATGCTCTAATTAGTTACTCATATTCTTTAGCTACAGTTGCCTCTTTTTTCCCCCCTCAGGGAGAGCTATCTTTAACTGGTTCGGTTAGATTTCTAAAGGTTATAATTCTGTAGAATAATTTCTCTTATTTCCTTAATAAAGACTTTAAAGGGAAAATAGAAAAAAGGTTTTTTTTGGGGGGTGGGGTGGTGTTGAGGGACTGTAATCTTTTTAGCAATTACCATGATTGATATACTTTTATGATAATTATGATTTTTTGTTTAAATAAAATTTCTATATAAAAGAACTTTGTTTAATTCATCGATTTCACATCGTGTTTCCTTTGCTATCCATAAGTAACAAGTGCTAGCAAGGAACCTGTAAGCCTATGATTTTATTTTATATATGTATATATATGCTGGCGAAGTTGATATGATAACAATTGAGCAATGTGAAGCTCATTGGATCTATTTTTCTAAATTTTCATCGTTTTTTTGTAACAACATTTAATGTTTGCTTTCATTTTTTTTTGGTTAAATGTGAGAAAATTCCGTGACTTGTGACTACTAGAAATATCATCAGATTTTGAACCTGGTCAACAGCAAGATGCACATGAATTCCTATGCTGCTTATTAGACAAACTGCATCAATCTTTTAATTCTGAGCATAGCCCTATCAGTCAAATCTTCGGTGGTCATATTAAGAGCCAGGTTCCTTCATAATTATATAAAATCTTCAATTTCTTAAAACATTATTTTCTTCATTGCTAATTGGATCGTGCATTTCTTTGATTTCAGGTTTGTTGTTGCAATTGTGCTCATGTTACCGATACTTACGAGTCTATGATAGATCTCAGCTTGGAGATTGATAATGCTGAAACTTTCACTCTTATAGATGCTTTAGAATCATTTACTAAAGTTGAGACATTAGATGACCCAGATAATAAGTTCTCATGTGAAGCGTGCCAAGATAAAGTATTTGTTGAGAAGCAAATCAAATTGTTTGAAGCTCCTCAAGTTCTTAGTATTAACTTTAAGAGATTCAAGGTTTGTTCTTCTGGCATTTACAAGATTGATAAATTTGTGGAGTACCCGTTACAATTGGATTTGAGGCCTTTTCTTAGCTCTCCGGAGAATGAGGTAAGTATCAAATTAAATTTCTTATGCTTATAGTGTTAGTATAGTATTCATATATGTTCTTCGATTATGTTCTCAGATGCAATACAACTATGAGCTATATGCAATAATTGTGCATTATGAAGATCATTACTACTCCATTGTTCGATCAACAGATAATATATGGCACGCGCTAAACGACGACAAAGTACAACTATATTCCCTTTCCTTTAAGAAAATGCTCTGAATTATATGTATAGTGAATTTTAAAGCTTGTTTAATCTTTTCTTGCAGGTATTTAGATATCCTCAATACTTGGCTCTCAATCGAAGTGCATATATACTATTTTATATAAAGCAGGGATCTGCACCATGGTTCATGAGTGTCCTAGAGAGAGTTTTAAGAACTTCAGTTGAAGATATTGATGCAACAAAAATATCAGAGAAAGAGAATGATCAGACTACAACAAAAGCTGAAGATACAACAAAAGCTTCAGATCATTATCCGAGACCGAAAGAAGGCAGTAAAGATCAAGAGAATTCTCACAAGAATATTGAAAAGGAAAGTCAAAATGATGAGGATACTTCCAACACAAGGAAGAGAGGAAGAGTTCAGTATGAGAATGAGCCTGTTTCGCCCTGAGGTACACGCACGTAATTTATTTTTCTTGTTTCTTTTTTTGTTTTCTTTTATGAGAAAAGATCTGGATGTAAACTTCATTGATAGTAAAGGGTAATAGATTTACAAAGACGAGGATATACATAGGGGATTAGGAGTGAGAATAAATTCGAGATTTGCATGGCATTACCTGCTTCTATATGTCATCGATATCTGATCAAACCGCAACTCTAGTAAATACAAAACATCTTTCTGATGTATGTTTCTTCAGTTTTGACTCTTTGAGTTGAAAATACGTTCATTATGTTCGCCCCAAGTTACTGGGGATTGCATTTGAGGGTTAAGAAGTCCAGACAAAAGAAAGTTAAATAATGCAATGAAAAAATGTAAAATTACAAAGAGGAGGTTGTAGATAACCATTTATATCTGGTAAGCACCTGGCAATTTTGTTTTGTTTGGGCTCTCAATTAATATAGACATTCCATTATCAGAACAAGTCAAAAAAAAAAAAAAAGTAAATGAGTAGAAGAGTGCTATTTGAGATTAAAAAAACAATTATATGAAAATAGGAAGTCTCTACCAAAAAATTTATCCTGTTTTCTTCAAAACCTCCTTGTTATTAGTCACATTAACATCTCCTATTAGCTCAAACTTTTTCTAAAACATATAAAATGCCTATATTTCTGATTACATGTAATGTTTAGGATGTAACTAAGCAAAGAAAATGAGATAAAATCTAAAGTTCAAATCCTGATATCATGTTAATTAACTCCACAATACATAATCTTTTCAAAGAATGCAACATTAACAATAACAAGGAGTTAACCCAAAATCCTAAAGTTAGCCCTTTGTCCGTTTCTTACCGAAAACCGTTTGCTTTCCTGAATAAACGCCCTCAATATACTTCAAAAACTACGAGTATACCCCTTCCAGCATATATACCTAAGACAATCAAGCCAATGGCAATTCTGCAATAACCCTCCAATCCAAGGCCAAATCCATTTCCCGCCAAAATTAGTTAGGATCTCTGACATGCTTTAAAATGTAACCTCAACGGTTGCCAAAGGGTAGCCTTTCCTTTGTCCTTCAAGGCTGCCAAGAATTCTTCTCTCTTTTTTATCTCTTCAATTTCAACTTAATTCAATTGTTTCGATCTCAATTCGATCTTCATCATGAGTATACCCTGCCTTACTTGTCAGGCTTCTCCCGACATGTCTCCGATCAATCTATACTGTAACGGGCTCAATCGTTCTTGCTCGATGGGGGCTCAATCTCGTCCCCCTCAGCATAACTTGGAGAGGAGAGGATCGACAAAGGCCAAAAGGAATGTAAAGAAGAAGGGGCATCGAAAGGTGTTCAGTATCGATAGCCATCCGATGACTCTGAACGATAAGGAAACAAAAGCAGAACTGGCGATGAAGGATGAACCGAAGCTTGTTCGTAGTGGGGGGATGAGGAGGGATTGGAGCTTCGAGGATCTTCCAAGCCGCGCAATTGTTGCTTGAGAGGGGGTAAATATGTGATGAGATTAATTTATATGTGTGAATATTGGTGGGATATAATTCTTATGTTTTATTGTTATATTTGTTGAATATTGGTGAAGTGTCATATTATGGATTTAAACGATGTATATGGTATTGTATGTGTTGCTACAATTGTTCTATATGAAATTAAAACTCTCTTGAGCCAAACTAAGATGTTTTATATGTTGATTTGTATATCACATAAAATGTCATTTTTACAAAATGTGATAAGGACTTTATTATTCTTATATCTCTAAATTCAACATGGGGTGGTGGCGCAGTTGGCTAGCGCGTAGGTCTCATAGCTAAATTGAGTTATCCTGAGGTCGAGAGTTCGAGCCTCTCTCACCCCAATTTTTATTTTTTTTCTATTTTTTCCCTCATTTTATGGCTGAATTTTTTAACTTGTGGTTCTTGTTAAATGGCAGCAGCTAACTATGGATCCAGTTAAGTAAAATGGAAAAGGCGGAAAAAATATACGGTTCTGATATATCACAAACAATCACAAGTGAGAATTCTGCGTGCTCTACAATAGATCTTTCATCATACATTATTTTTTCCCCTTATTTTTATTTTTGATTTGACGAGGGAACTTTCCCGCGATCCTTTCAACCATGGGTATCAAAACCCCGGCGTGACTAAGAGGCACCCCCTAATATACGGCTTCAGGTATTCCACAAAATTAAATTCGTGTGGATGCTCACCAGGAGAGTTGAACTTGAGACCTTAGAATACTACTCATATGCGGCTTATTAACTTGGCTAGAACATCTTAGGTTTCCAAACTAAAATACGCATTTATGAATTTGGAAGAAATATATAGTAGCTTAAGAAAGTAAATCTCAGGAGAATTTTCTCTAATAACGCATAATTTTTAGTCATTTCATCCCAAAAATCCATATCGATAACAAAGATTAGCAAGTGTTTGTTAATGGTTAAAGAGGTTGCTTAGGATTAGTGCCATGTCAGAGTTTAACCAGCTTTTGTCATTAGTGGTTAATTAATAATAATTAGGTGGGGTCTTGATTAGCTGGTTCATGAGTAGGATGTGTGAGATCCAATTTTTGCCAGCTATGATGTCTTAATAACTGGTATCTTTTGGATATAGGTACCAACCCAAGCCATGATGTGAGTGAGGATATCATGTGTTGCATATTTAACATTCCTTCTATAATATAATAATAATATTCACACCCATGAATTTACATATTTTTGGTTTTTTAATAATGTTGTTGAGCTTTAGTTATATACCTTTCCAAACTATTAGCATATGTTTTATTTTATCCTTCTAAAATACTGTTTTAATACAATTCAAAAAATGTTAAACTTATATCTAAACTCATTCTCATCGATTGTTGTTAACCAAAATCTACAATAAAATTAATGAATTGTTTTTGGTGGAAATTTTTTTAATGAAATGTGTTAGTGTCATCATTTGGATATCCATCATTTGTTTTGGTCTTGGTTTCTAATATTGTATTATATATTACTTCTATGCATTCCTATGTTTGATCACTATTTCCCCCTTAAATAACAAGATGTGTTTTTATCCACCTCTCAATCTGAGAAGGCAAAAAGTAAAAACAAAAACAATTTTGTTCTCCTCATGTCAAATACTAAAAATATCATAAACAATAGAAGTGCATAGACTGTTGAAGTTTGATTCAATGATAAATAAAAAAAGGTTACATTGCGGGAAAAAAAAATCTTAAAATCTTAAATTGAAGATCAGAATATGTCTTTGTTTTTAGAAAAGAAGAGAAAAACATTACAGTGGTAATAGTACGAAGTAGCTGCAGAAGTTAAAACACCACTGCTTTGTGTGGCTTCTTTTGTTTCATAATAACTCATGTACTATTAATTTCATACTATTTTGGTCATGTAACACTTAAAACATCTTTAAAAAATGGTGACAGATTGTCACATGCTTATATGTTATTGTAGAAATAATTATTAATACAATTAGCATTTCTTTGCAATGCATACCTTAATTTCTCCTGATCTTGCCAGTTTCTGTATGGAATTGATTCTGCTGTTGACCTATAGAACAAGTTGGCGGAGAGAATATTAGGAGAATCGGTGAACAGCTCTTGAGCTCTCAATGCAGCTGGAAATGATTTGATTTATCAATATCCTGATCTCTTCTCTTCTTCTTCTTGGCTCTCTCTTTTGTTGTTATATGAAGAGGGGTTGTGTGAGTCAAAAAAGATAAATATGGCTGAGATCACAATGACCTCATCCAAAGTTATGAAGAAAGAATTAAAAACCTTTATTGCATGAACATGTGTTTTCAGCTGTTTCTTGCTTTTCCCCCACTTTTGCATTTACAAGTGAAAATGAAAGGGTAACCACATCAAAATTGACTGATAAAGTTGATTGATATTCAATTATTTTGTTAAAATCTTATCTCTATCATCCAAATCTATTAAAAGATTGAAACATTAAAGAGTCAAGCCAAGAGTTGAAGGAAAGATTAGTATTTCTTTAAAAGGGGAAAAGTGGCACCTTAGATACAATCTAAGGAAACGCCTTAAAAACTACATTTATATGCTATCAATTTATTCGATCCACTGCATTCATTTTTGTTGGTATGTTTTAGATTGTGTATAAATAAAAAATTAGATATATTATATTGTAGTGATCCATACATCAATTGATTGTAAAATTAATGGTTTTACAATAATATAACTAAAGAAACAAAAAAAAATATGTGGTAGAGGGATTGGAACATCATGATTATTATGTTATAGATGTTTGAGATATTTAGATCCTAATGAATAAAGCGAATCATCTATTGGAGTAGTCTAATATATGAATCGAGACTCGAGAGGCGCGTCCTTTGATTAAATACAAGGTGTCATATTAGGAATATTTTTTTCATTAAAAAACTGTTTTAGGGATACATAGAAACAGTTTAGCACATATAATTATGCTTTTCAATTAACTTGGAGGTAAAAACATTGGTCAGATGACTAACGAAAAAAAGTTCTGCCCATTTTGTTGTTCTTATCAAAAGAAAATTTAATTCTAAATGTATACATGACCTTATATTTTGATAGGTCCAGTTGCATATAAATTTAGAGCAGAATCAAATTTCTATTTTCTACTAATTGTATTATATGTAGTCTTTTAATTAAGGGCATGTTTGATAACTGGTCAAACTGGTTTATATGGCACTACAATATGTTTGACAACTAGCTTATTTTGGTTTATGAGCCCAAAAAATAAGCTCCCCTAACCGAGCCCAAAAAATAAGCTCCCATAACCGAACTTATCTTTTGGTGGCTTATAAGCCATATAGTTTGACCAAATAAATGTCAAGTTTACCCTTCAACGTTTAAGATAATTCCGTAGTTCATTCAATGTTGAATTTTAGTGCCATGTATTTTTTCGTCGTTTTGACGATAATGATGGATTATAATCCACTCATTTGATAAACACTCTCCCATTGATCAGAGCGGCTTATAATTTGTTTTTTAGCAAACATTTTGGCTTATAAATTTACTTAGCTTATAACTCATTTGTGGATTATAAGTTAAGTTTCTAAATATGACCGCTAATTGAAGGAGACAAATATTTTTTTTTCTTTCTTCAATTGTTTAGTCATGTTCATTAATGACTGTGTGGTCACTGATTTCTCTACTAAATTTATTTTGTACTTAATATATAGACTTCACTTCATTGCTCAATCTTTTGTACTCATTAATACCATGCTCGCTGTTGAGAAAAAGCAACGGCACGCGTCATAGAGCTCCCAGCTGAGCAATTAGCTCATATACAGTGTGTGTATATATATATAAGGAAAAATATATATGACTTGTCAACTCTATGACATGTGAGCCCGTTATTAGTCACATCGGTTGTAGGGCTCACGTGTTATAGAACTGACAGCTCATTTTACTAAATAAGTTATCAGTTCATACTCAATATCCTCACACACACAAAAATATATATATACTATAAAGCCCTTTGCTTGCATTGTTTATACTGTTTTTTTTTTCCGGAATGTATGGAATTCATTATTTCTCTCTCATTCCTAACGCTAGACAATAAAGATACAAAAACAATGTAAATAATAAAGATAGCAAGATAAGATGAGATAAACGAGCGACACCCACACACCACACACACAACACACACACACACACCACACACACACACACACACACACACATATATATATATTATATATATATAATTATATATATACTATTATATATATATAACTATACTATATATATATAATATGATATATATATATATATATTATATGAGATTAATGAGTATCTTGTCAATAGGAGGGGATTTCCTCCTTGACGGCCTCTAGAAAACACTGATTAAGCGACATTATGGAGATGATTCCGCGCATCGTTGAAACTTGATCTACATATTTAAATCCAGCACACAGCAAGTTTGGGTTGAATCGCGTCGTCGTTTGACTCTCTCCATCAGAGCATGTAGTAAAAAGTTCCTATTCATTCCAAAAACCGTTAAAATTGATACGACGTGGAATGAAAGGGTTCAACGAGCGACGGGTTTCACCCTAACTTGGGTGTTGGGTTTTAGCGAATATGTAGATCAAGTTCAAGCAGACGGCGGAGTGCTTTAATATGTCGCTCAATCAATGTGGATTTTTACGAGGCCGATCTAAGGAGCCGTAAATCCCCTTGCCGATATGACCAAGGATACACCATTATATCTATATATATAATAATTATCTATATAATATACTATATATATATTATAGTATACTATATATATA